TTTGTTTGACCACTGCCTCTAGCACCTCAGGATCACATTCCCGATATTTCTCAATCTCCTTCTGTAAAGAAGCCTTTTCCTGTTTTTTCTCCTCCAACTCGGAGAGAATTTCAGATCTTTTGTCCTATAGTTTATAAAGTACTTAAAATTAATGACTGTAGAAAACTTAATTAGTCTGGAAGTCATAATATACTGAGACATGCATAATATCTTAAATGACAAAATAAAATTGTGCAAACTCACAGAATCTTCTTTTCCAACTTTGGCTTTCTTTACACTGTCTTCCAAAAGCTGTTTTCTTTCGTTCAATTCTTTGATCTTGTTTGTCAAATCATCAAGTTTTCTTTTTCGCTAGAAAAAACATGACCAACATAAAAAGACTTAGGCCTAAAATAAAATTAAGTTTGTTTGCAGTTGCCGACCGACCCACTGAAAATGCACCGACCCAAACTTTTTTTTAGCCATTTGGTAATTTGATTTTTTTTTTTTTTTTTTTCAGAATATTGAAACAGTTTCGTTTTCAAATTTTGACACGTTTTTAATCATTCAGTAGTTTATAACAAGAGGTGAGCTTATTCATGGCTAGTAGGTGTATGAAAACATCTTTAAATTGTTATCTAACAAAAATCTGATTTTTTTTTCCAAAAAAAAAAAAAAAAGAATGCCTACCTACGGCTACCGACCCAGTCTAAAAATTATAGGTCGGCAACTGCAAACAAAGAATTTTTAAGCTTGGCCTTATGTATATATTGCAATTGATTGCATTATTGAGAAAAATGGTTTTGAGACCTACCAACCCCTTGAAAAGTACTTGTTTCTATGCTCAAAATAACTTTTTTTTTAACCAATATAGACGACTTTGTCATATAGTTAAAGTTTCTTTAAAAAATTTGTACCTAAAGAATGAACATTGTTACCCTCCACATGTTCAATATGGGAATAATTTAAAATTTTGAACTCTGAACACTTAAATGATCGAGGCATATACATGTAGTTTATAAATACAATTATATACGAATTAAACTTTTTAAAGTGGGCCTTAATTGAGTTAAGAAAGGTAAAACAATTATTTGTGATATGATACAGTTCCTGATAAACCTACAAGATATTTTCCTTTTCTATGAATATTTTATATTTACAAACTGTGAAACAGGAAACACTTTTATAATGAGACATTTACAGGAAGATTTGCAAGTGTTTCTAAAAAGTAAAACTGAAATACACTCTCAGTAGAAAACTTTTCTAGTTGTTTATAGTAAAAAATAGAATACATAGGAATATAAATTTTATCTATTTTCAATGACATAAGATCTTCCTTGTGTATTTTATTGAGAACTTCCTTCCCTGGACACATGGAGTTTATATCTACTCATAAAGAATTAAATTTGCAGTATTAAAACAGTTAAAACTTTGAAATAAAAGCATCATTTTTGAACTCCATATTAAACTGTTCAATTTCATGAAATATTGTTATGCTTGGAAAGAATCCAAGCAGGAATAAATTGTCTTATATAATTTTTTAAAACATAACATGGTTACATTTTGACTTGCTTTTCGAGAGAAAACTGAGAAACGTACAAGTGTTCCAATTTACCCATGTCAAAGTCAAACATAACTTACATTTTGACTTGCTTTAGTGGGAAAGCCCCAGAAATACAGTAAAACTCGGTTAGAACGAACACAGATAAGGCGAATTCACAGATATAGCTAAGTCATCTTGGATCCCTAAACATGTAAATTCTATGAATTTCTTTTACGGTTTAATGTAACGAATTACGGATATAGCGAAGTAATTTCATAGGTTGCAGCGACCTCGTTATAACTGAGTTCTGCTGTACAGAGGTTTCAAATACAGTCAAACTTGTCTTAGCGGCCACCTGAAATCAACGGCCACTCGCGGTCAGCGGCCACTTTGAGTTCCCGACGACTTTTACTATATATTTTAACTGGAATAAACGGCCACCTGTGTAACGCGGCCAGCGGCCACTCAAATCATCACCCACAGCCTTATAGACACTGAAATAAACGGCCACTTCGTCACTTGTTGCAATTCTATCACGTCTTTTTAACACATTCGCTTGGGTAATTATAAGCTCGATAGTCAATTTGACCTATTAAAGCAATTAAACAAATTACTTCTAGATACGCTGATCTTTGTTTGTGTTACTGAGAAAAATATATTTCTCCTGTTAGACCATTTTTTGTAATTATTTTTTAAGATGAAAGTTTAAAAGAATTGAATTACAATTAATATTTTTCCAGAGCTAAAGAATTTTTGTACTTTTCGATATTAATTCATCATTACCTTGAATGTTTACTGAGAGTATGTGACCTAATACAGGGCTATCGATATTTTCACACCTTTTATATTTTGATTCCATGTAGAAACCCTAATTGCTACTCTTGTGAAAACAAAGTGCATGATTATCTCGTGAATTTCACTATGGAGAGAGATCGATAGGGATTAGTTACGCTCTACTGCACAGGACACCTATGCTGTAGAATGATTTTCAACTGCGTAAATACACCTCTGTGGTCAACTGGTTAATCTTATTTGTGTGTCTATCTATATTACATAGAAATTCTGACAGCTTTATATAAAAATAAAGACCAGACTTTAAAAACTCCAGCAAGTAAGGTAATCGCCGATTAGTTAAATGGGGGGGGGGGGGTTTACACTGCTGAACATTACTTGAAGTTACTTAAATAAATTTATAGACTTTATTTTATTTACAACTAAACTGTCTTTTTATTTAAGTGTGTGTTATTTATTTTTAAATAAAAAAGAGATAATAGTAAAGCACATGTATTTCTTCAAATGTTAATTAAAAGAGCTTACTTAATATTTCAATGTAAAAAATCCCACTGAGGAATGTATGACGTTTAACTGATATGGAGGAACAGAAACATGCACAAACCAAGTAACAATTTGGAATTATTCAATTTCTTTTTTTTTTGAGCATGAATTAATTTATAAACACCTAAAAAACTTTTGTGAAATTTACCTGTTTAATTTTCTGATTAATTAATTTAAGTGTAGTGCTTAATGTTGATTATTTATTGACCGACTGGCTATTTTGAGGGCAAGCTGGAATAAGAGGCCACCTGTCTTAAGTGGCCAGTTTCCAGACTTCCCAAAGGTGGCCTCTTAAAACAGGTTTGACTGTACTTCCAATTTCATCTTTGTTGACCATAACTTACATTTTGACTTGCTTTACTGGGGAAGGCCCAGAAATACACAGAGGTTCCTATTTTATCTGTGTCCACCATTCCATCATCGACGAGGCTGGTGAGGATTTCTTTGACGGACATTGAAGTAATCCCCTTCTCTTTCTGACAAAGTCTCTCTAACTCCTTCAGTTGGAAAAAGTCCTTCTGCAAAAATTGTAAGGATAGAGATAAAAGTTAATTATTAAATTTCCTTTTATATTTTGAAATCATCATGGGGGGGGGGGGGGGGCTAGATTCATGGATTTTATGGGTCACCCTTTCCAAGCCACTCTTGGTTCCAAGCACTGAACCTTCTGAAAAATAAGTTTTTCCTGTATAAATAAAACTGTCTGTTCTCTGAAACTAATATACAAAATAAGATCTTTGCAAGTGAGTTAAGGCCATAAGTATATGGTAAGGCCATAAGTATATGGCCATTTAATTAAAGTGAGATTAAGAAATTTCTCTTTTATACAGGGAAGGTTTTAACTTACTGTCAAATACATATTTCAAAGCAAGTACCCAAGACATGGTATATTCAAAATACATTATGATTTCATATTAGTCCTTAATGATTCAAATAAATAAACAGCATCAACAAAACAACTACTGTTATAGCAGTAACAGGAAAGAATATAAATGGTTAGACCAAGAATCCCAGGACCCAAACAGGTGCTCTACCATCTGAGCTATCCAGGGCAATATCCAAGACCCTGCCCAAATCACTGCATTCCTCCTTAACAACCAAAGTTTTTATTAGCCCCCTGACAGGACTTTCAATTGCATGTCCACTCCAGTGATGATCATTATGATCAACAGCACCAAAAAGGAGAAAATGTATGGCTGGACTGGGAATCAAACCCATAAGACCTCTGCATCACTAGTCAGTACTCCTACAAGTAAGAGCCTTGTATATGCTTCTTATATACCTCGGCGCCAAGTCAAAAGTATCTCGCCATGAACCTCTAGCATGCTGGAGTACACTAGTCACAAACCATTGAACAGCAATGCATAAATAGCATGTTTTGACAAAAACAAGATTCAATGATAAGAAGAATATGCTGAAGATTGATGATATTGCTGTTCATATATTGACGATTCAAATGTCATCTTTATAATTTGCTTTTAAAATGTAAAGACATTTTACATGCATGAATCCAGAAGGGAATGGGGACGCTCCTGTTGTGTCATCCAGGGTCCATAACGCAGTATCCTTCATCTGTGCCAGTTTTTTTGCCAATTTGCACTTTTTATGACCACCAAGAAGACAATAATTGAAAAATTATATAAGGAAAACTTTTACAAATTATGAACTTAAATAACTTTATTACGCTTATTCATGTACAAGTACAACTGACTTACTTTTTCATAAAAGAAATCCATCATTCTGCTTCTTTTCTCTTCCACGCTTAAACCACGCTTCTTAGACTAAAATAAAAAAAAACAATGGAATTGGAGTACGGGGTACTTTACTTTTGCAATTCTCATGACGGTTTTTAAATATCAAACTCAACGTGTGTTGCAGAAAATAAAACAAATTTGTTACCATTTTTTGTGATTTATCTGAACTTCTTCGGATTTGGCGCTATTCTTCCTTGCCTACTTTCATTTTGCAAAAAATGCCGATCCCGATTTAATAAATAAATATTGAAAATTAATCTATATAGCAGTATTTTATAGGCTTAGATAGTACAACGTCACAATTAATATATTTAAAAGACTTCTTTTTATTTATTTTTTTTTTCACTTTTGAGGAATCTTTATATCTGTTTATTTGTTGTCAGATTTTATCGGGCTCGAAATCCTGGTAATCATAATGAGCGGCATGGATCGAAAATCGCAGTACAAAAACAGAGCTAAGAATGTGGCTAATATTAGGCAGAGACATAAAGCAGCAGAAGTGGGTAAGAATATTAATAAGTAAGAATATTTGAGACTTGATATTTAGGCATGACACGTACGTTTTCTGCCTTTATCTTGAAGCTGGTGCTGCTGATAATGCCAGGTCCAGTACAATTTATACTAGAATTACATAGCTGTTTGAATTATGTATCTAGATTTATTTAGCTACTTAAAGAAGCTTTATTTAGCCATTCTTTTGCAAGTTTTCACAAGTTTGCATATAGCCACAGAATGTTATGAACTTACATTCAAAAAGCTGACGATGACACATCTTAAAATTAGGTATTCCAGTCATTCTCCTATTCATTTCATCTAATCATACAGGTAAACTTTGGTATCTCGACATCTGATATGTCGACAACCTGGTATATGTCGACGTCTGCGATTATTTACTATATAAATGATTTGCAAAAACTCTGATATGTCCACCTCGGTAATCTCAACCTATTTCACAGTCCCAAGAGCAAAATTTACCTGGTATATGTCGACATCGGGGCAATTTTCTGCTCTACTTAACCTAATTGTTTGTCAGCTCAGCTGTTCGCTCATCACGCATGGACAACTCCGTGTATCTCGACGTCGTCAGAATTTCACACCTATGTTTTGACTAAATACTGCTCGTAGAAATGTGTTTGTAGAGGAATCCCATGCCCCCTTGGCGTCTCTAATACGTTAATTGTTTAATGTTCAGCTTGGGTAATATCATTGATAAATCTTCTCGATTCTACGTAATAGGGCTGGGACGATACTGTACTTAGCCGATTCGGTACATATCACGATACATAAGATGCGATACGATACATATCACGATACATTGCAACTTAATGAAAACATGAATAAGGGCTTAAAATTTATTGAATCTTTCAATGTATTACCGCATGTCCAAAGTGATTTCATTATATTTAAAATGAGCGTTGCACAATTTACAAATTACATTAGTCTTGTTTTCACTACTTTTTCATAAACAAGTAATCCAAAAGTTTTCCACACTCCAGATTTAGCTTCATAACAGTTTTGACAACTTTACGAGGTTTTCCGCCATCTTTGTACTTTCGTATTTAGGCGCGCGGACTAAAAATAGCGAATATATATAGCTCGGATATTTTTGGAAAATAAAAAAAAAGTTCGCTAAGGTATCGTTGTATTAATGGTAAATGTATCGATCCAAATATCGTCAAAATAAATACCGCAATGCACCGGTGCATCGGTGGATCGTCCCATCCCTACTACGTAACTGTAAAATCGTTTTTTATGTGGAAATCTAACAAAACTTAAACATTTTATTTTAAAAAGTAACCTTATAACAATGAACAATATATACATTGAATTCAATTTAACTTAAAAATTGTGGTAAAAATGCATTCAACAGGAATCAATCAAATCTACGGCATGTACGACTATTGTATCAGCCGTAATTTGGCTACATATGTTGTTAAATGCGCAATTCCAATTTAATTTTGCTTTGAATATAAAATGAAAATTAATGATGAATAATTATGAAATAAAAAAAGAAGTGAAATGAAATAATTTAAAAATTATGCGCATTGATTTTTTCCGTATCTCGGAAGTCAACTTTGTACCGTTCCAGTTTGGAGTTATAGAGCGCATCTCGTATCCTGTTCTGACAGAGCTAGTGGCACGCGGATCGAATGCTGAATGGAAAACGATTTTTAGTAAAATGATAAGATTTCGATAAAAAAGAAAACATTTCATAAAAACATTTGTGAATAACTTCTTAGATTTTCTAATAAATATAGAAGGATAACTAAAACAAATGAGCTACAGTCTAATTGAAGACTTGTAGTTACCTGTAGGTACGTCTGTTCATGTCTGTGGTTTTAGTATGAAGTAAAATTAAGGACGTCGAGTCTCAACTCTGATATCTCGACACCTTGGATATCTCGACATTTTCCAACTGTCCCGTCGATGTTGAGATAAAGAAGTTTACCTGTATGTTTCTTGACATTGATATTCTATTGCAGCCCTTCGAAAGGACAGAAAAGAGAAACTTTTGAGTTCAAAGCGATTTCGCTTCAATGTTGAAGGTGAAGAACTGACAGATGAAATCTCACACGAGGAGGTGACTTTTAAATTTGCGTTTATTGTTTACTTAAATATTATAATTTTTGTCTTGGGGTACAGTTAGAATATGTCCCATAAAGTTTCAATATAGCAAAGCAAAGTAGTGTTAGTCAGATCAAAGTTTCTTGGAAGAGGGATCAACCTGTAGTTCAACGATTTTCAAGTAAGAGTTTTTGAACTCTATCGTGATACATACCTGGAAATATGATTTGTATATTGAGGGTCCTTGTGATCAATCTAATTCATAAACATGTACAACTATAACAATTTTAGCACAACACACCGAAAGTATTGATTTATTCATCATGTACATTTTTGGTCACAAAAGGGGTTATGTTACCCCCACCCCACTGCCTCCTCTTCAACTGCCAATGCCTAGGTGATTCCTTGTTTTTAAAATTACCAAAGTGCTGTCAAAATTTCCCATTCATTGTCAGTTTAATAATTTAATCTTTGTCTCAACTTGGTAAACTTAACATTTTTTTTTCCAGTTTGATATTTTAAGTATAACTTAATTATTGTGCCAAAACATCTCTGAATTCATGATGCAACTGTAGTTGTTTTATGTATACATAAAACATAGACACCAGAAATTAACAAAACAGTCCCAGAAAATCAGACAAAAAATCATTCCCAATGTCCAAAAATTCTTATAATCTTAATATTGCTTTGTTAGGTTTTGGAAATACATTTTATATTTCAATGCAATATTACAGGTCACAAAGGCAACAAAGAGTCTGCAAAAACCAGGAGCTCATAGACTAGAAAACCTGAAGACACTAAGACAGGCATTTTCTCAGGGATCAGCATACATTGATACATTTTTCAAGTAAATAACATCATAGATATAACTGTCTGAAAAGAAAAATATGTTTCATGATAAAAAGGATAAACTGGATGAATTTGTCAAAGTCATAAAACCACACTGTGTATTTTAATTATGTGAAAAGGGATGGGGGACAGCAGAATCTGCTCTTTATTATTAAAACTAAAACTATAAACTGGAATTATATTTCAACCTTCTATGGATGTTCTCATTATTATTTACATACAATCTTTTCCTGAAAGGGTTGACAATGCCTTGGATACTCTTGTTGGCATTTACACTGGAAAGGACTCTGAACAACAAATTGAGGCAGCTTGGTGTATTACAAACATCTCTGGAGGAACACCGGAACATGAAATGGCCATCTGTAAACATGTGGCTCCATACCTGATCACCTACCTAAGCAGCGGTGTTCATCAGTTACAGGTTAATTGTAAAACGTTCTTTGTTAAATTGATACTAAGGCCATGCATCTTTAAAATAATGTTTGTTTGCCCTCTTCCAACCAGGGTAAAACAAAATATGATAAGTAGATATGTGAACATTCAGAAAATTTAAAATTTTAAGATGTAGATTTTATTTAAAATGTTTGACTTCCAATGCTTAAAGAAAATTTAAATATATTTAAAAATTAAATGAAGTTGATGATTTTTGATTACATTTTCCCTTGTGAATTAGGACCAGAGTGCCTGGGCTCTGGGGAATTTAGCGGGGGATAGTGCTGAATGTAGGGGGATCCTACAGAAACAAGGAGTGATACCTCCACTGGTACAGCTTCTACAGGTAAATAGTGGTGAAATTGTATTATCTCAGGGGTAGACAAATACATTTTTTCAGTACTTGCCCTCGGACAGGTTACCATCGTAAAACAACTTGTCCTACCAAAAAATATGCTTGTCCCACCGTTTTCTTAAAATACATAGAAGTGAAGCATTGATATTAAATTATTTCTTGAGTGAGACAAGTAAAATTACGAAATTCTTCCACAGATAGATTTAGATGATAATGATTAATTTTAAGGAGTATTTTTCCTTAAAATTCTGCAATAAAATACATGTACACTTTTTAAAAAAGTAATGTTGTGTTTATTTAATGGAAAAAGGTGAAGATATCGGACACTGATCAATTTCATAAAACCTACAAACAAAACGAGTCTGTGAACAAAACAATACTGCATGCTATGTGATTGCCAGGGAACAGCAATCAACAACAATTTTAATACCACTAGCATCTGTATTTACAGTATGAATTTAGTACATGTATTTTGACAATAAATGTCTATATTTCCATACCACGTTTTTTGATGACATAGCTGATAACTACATGTTTTTCGACATATGCATATTTTCACAACACGTTAATGGGTAAATTCTAGAGGAGTTCCGACTATTCAATGTACGTATGTACGGCTGATGCCGGCTGATGCAGTAGTCAACATCAGTGAAAACAGGTGCTTTGCTGTAATTCATGATACTTTAAAAGCGATAACATAAAATATGTTTGAGTATTGAACATGTCTCTTTTTGTTAATTGGAAAACAACTTGTCCGCAGGCAGGCACCTGCTATCAAATTACTTGCCTACCAACCAAAACTGGTTGTCCCGGGCGTCGGGCAGTGCTATTTGTCTAGCCCTGTATCTATTAATATTCATTATCTCTGAATTTTTTTTAGAGTTAAAGCCCTTCAGTGTTTAGAGCAGTACTGAGTACATCATACTATTTTCTTCTGCAGAGTCCACAGTCATCAGTCGTTCAATCTGCAGCATTTGCTTTATCAAATCTGGCTAAAGAATCAGTGGAAGACTGCAAGTAAGTAACTTTTCAAGAACTTACAGTTTGTAAAATAAAACTAAAATTAAATGAATTATTTCAGTATATTTTCTTTGGTATTTGTTTTTAGGGAGATGGTTCAGGCCTCTGTTATTCCTAATCTCCTTCGACATTTCTCATACTCACCAGAAAATCTAGATGTTTTGGCAGAAGTATCTTGGGTCTTTACTTATCTTGCAACTAGGTAAGACTTCAACTGTAACTTGAAAACTTTGTTTAATATCATCCTATTTTTATTGCTTTATCCAATATTCAAATGAACATAGATACTGTATTGCTGTATATTTGTTTGGAAATAAAATATAATGATCTAGCGCTGTTTGCAATACCTTTCTCGAATAGATTTCTAACTACAAATAAAAAAATTTTGTACTAATAGATTCATTCTTGTTACAAATGCTGGATACACAATACTTATGTTACAGAGGATTTTTCTTATATATTTTAGTGGGCTCTTCTTGGAGGAGATGTCATCAAATGGAGTGATAACTAAAACTGTTAGTTTATTGGTGACACTGTCAGACATAGTGCCTCATAAAGCTCAGGTAGGATCAACACAAGAAGCTGGGAAACTCTTCCATAATTAAGGGAAGTTAACATGAGATCACATATTCCAGTTATCACAAAGAAAAAGTTGAAGAAACTTAGTAATTTAATATTACCTTTCCATGACCACTACAATACTATTCTTTTTAGGGCTGCTGTAATTTGTTCAAAGTTAACTTTCAAAAAGAATTTATTAAATATCAAACTAGGAATTATTTGTGATACATGTTGGGATGCATTTTCCTTTATATTTTGTTACATACAGTATATACATGTATCTACATGTATTTGAAAATGTCTCATTTTCATAAACATTTGATGTCAGGTCGTGACCCCTTTGCTTCGTTGCCTTGGAAACATATGCAGTGGGCCAGATCAGTATACTGTAGAGGCCAAACAGAATGCTGAGTTGTTACCAAGCCTCTGTAAATACATGACCTCTGACCTCCGCCATGTCCGCAAAGAAACCTTGTGGGTTCTCTCCAATATGACAGGTAATTCTAATTTGATAAGGTATCATTTGTACTGGATTTCACAAGATTAAAAATTTCTGTTAAAAATTGTAATCTTGTATACAATAGATGTATTGCATTGTATTTATTTCATATACATGAACATACAGTCAAAGGTAAAAAGTGAATTTAATATTTGTAAATGCTGCCCAATCCCATTCACTTTTATCTGTAAATAAAATTTTGTATAAATAAAAAAAAATAAATTAGATTTAATTTTATAAAATGGGAACATTTATTAAAAGCTCATACTTACCTAGGGTACGTTGATTCTGTATCAATGAATTCTTCAGGTCAAGGACACAGGATTTGGAAGTGTAAAATTTTTGTCTGAGTCATATCTCTGTATGTAGAGAGGGAACCAATAAATGCCCCTGACTAAATGGTCAATGTTGAGTAGAAGTTGACTTCATTTGGATTAGCAGACTGAATTTTGTTTGGGCACTTGTTTTGCAATACTCATTGAAACATTTCTATTCACCTTGTTATCAGGTGATCTAGAGGTATGTAAGGAAGTTGCATTTGGACCAATCCTACCCCATGTCTTGGAACAGGTGCCTGCAGCATTTGACATTAAGACAGAGGTGAGGGAAGTGAAAGAAATTTTTTTTCAAGTTAAGTAATGAATCATTTATAATTGTGAAATCTTGTAAAGTGTATAATTATAATGATATTTTTTTATGGCAATGTACATATCAAATTCTAGATCTCTGTTTTTTAAGGCTCTCTATGTGTTGTGCAATCTTGCTTGTCACGGTGAGGACATATGTACCCAGCTGGTCGACTCCGGGATGTTACAGAGTGTGACTCCAGCACTGAAGTCCCATGATGTAGAAGTCCTTAATCTGGCTCTGACAATGTGTGAAATGACACTGAAAATGATCCCAAAGGTAGGAGGTATTTCTATACAACATAGCCAATTTTATATTAAATCCCATGTGATGGCCTTTTGAATGAGATCAAATCCCATGGGATGGCCTTTAGAATGAGATCAAATCCCATGGGATAGCCTTTTGAAAGAGATCAAATCCCATGTGATGGCCTTTTGAATGAGAGCAAATCCCATGTGATATATAGCCTTTTGAATGAGATCAAATCCCATGGGATGGCCTTTTGAATGAGATCAAATCCCATGGGATGGCCTTTTGAATGAGTAACGGACCTCTCTACATTACAATTTTTTGTTGATTTCTGCAGGCCAAAGAAATATTTGAGAAGGAATGTGAGGGGATAACCAAGTTAGAGGCACTGGAATACCATAACAATGAGGCCATCAGGACCAGTGCTAACAACATCCTAGACATGTATTACAGCGAAGAGGTAAGGGTTCATGTATGAAGCCTCAAAAGGCATGTTTTATAGATACAAATGTTAAGGAGGCCTCTAAAATGAGGTAATGATACATGTATAAAAATATAAAATTTACATTTTATTAAAAAATAGCTTTAAATATGTAAATATTTTTCAATATGTATAATATTTTTTACCATTTTATTGCGGAAATAAGTCCTTTATATAATAAGTATAAACATCTTATCCGACACTTTGCATTCCAGTGCCTCTTAAAAACCAGCATAAAAATTTTATAAAAATGTTTAAAAATTAGAATAAAAGTAAAATCATTGATAAAAATAATTTTTAAAATCAATTAGATTTTTATAGCTTTTTTAAAAAGGCATTTTTGCCCTGATTAGGCACTACTTATTGTTTACATTGTTATACAGCGTACTGCAGCCAACAAGAAAGGGAAAGGAAAAAAATCCTCAAAATGTAGGTAAAACTTTGATAAAAGAATCTCATTTTCTGAGATTTGTGATATTTTTGTCTAATTCCTGGTGTGTTTTCTATCCTTTTTTGCTTATGGCTCTAAGATAGAAAATATGCATGGTAAAAGGTAAACAGCTTTCCCAGTCACAGAAAATGGAAGATTCTACATATAAACAATATACTGTATACAGGGAAATTTTCAACAGTGTTTTGTTTTTGTCCCTTTTGCCCTACTCACAGGTAAGTGAATTTAAAATGGGCAAGTTTAAAGAACACAATATAATTTCTTAAGGAGAATTGTGACTAGCAAATTTAAAATGGAGCAAAAATTAATGTTTAAAGTATTAAGAGGCAAAAATGACACAGGGAGAAAATAACCCTGTATACAGTTAACATTGTTAGAAATATTGTATGTTAATTTAGGTTTTTAATATTTTTAAATTCCTTTGGAACATAGACTAGACTTGTAAATAGTATGGAGTAGTTTTTATGTCCTGATTTTGAATTTTTATTGCAGGAGAAAGATTTGAACATGATGTAGAGATGCAGTCTGTAAATAAAGCCGTCATATAATCTGAATTGTGTCAAACACATACATGTACTCATTATAGAATAGACAGGGGATATCAAATAAGGCCCAATTATCAAGAATGTCTTGTTCTGCATAATTACCAGTTTTTAGTGCCATATATACTACATGTGTATAAAAAATATTCGTATAGTGAATCAAGTATTTGATAGTGACAATTGCAATCTAGTGATGCAATCTTAATTCTTAACTTTTTAAAGATTTTTTAAATTTTTTTTTTACTCTGTGAATATTCATTTATGCAGTATACTTTAAGTAAAAGTTCAAAACCAAGCTGTGTTCTTATTAATGAATTGGTAATTACTGATAGAAGAAGCACACAAGAATTTACTGTGGTTTCATCAATATTCATTGAACATCAATTTTCAAGAATTTTGTTGTTGAGCAGATCCACAAATTCAAATGTTCATTGAATTAATAAATATGATATTCATTTGTATAGGCAATGCTTTTGTCCACAAAATTACATATCCTCAAAAACGTCTGTTTTACAAAATCCACGAAAATTGATCCCAACGAAAATTAATGAAACCACAGTATCATCTGAAATGATTTTAAGTTTCAGACTGAATTGTTATAATTTCTTTGTTCAGATTAATTAAGTTTTCTAAATATTGAACAGTGATATTCAGTGACCTGATAGGATTTCAAGAATGTGGAATGATCATGACTGTACTGTTAGTGAGCTCGCAGAAATGATAACTCCGCTAGGATTTTTAACTCACCTGAGCTGAAAGCTCAAGTGTGAACTTCTTATCTACTGTTATCCGTCGACTGTCTGTCTTGCTGCCTGTCCCTCTCTCTGTAAACTTGTCACATTTTTAACTTCTGGGCCAATTTCAACCAAAGTTGGTGCAATGCTTCCTTGGGTTAAGAAGAGTTAAAATGAAGGACCAACCCCCTTACTAGGGGAGATTATCAAGAAAATACATTATTAGGGTGGGATCATTAAAAAATCTTTGCCGCGAGAACTGCTGAACCAGAAAAGCTTAAACTTATATGGAAGCATCCTGGGGTAGTGTAGATTCTAAATTGTTCAAATTATGGCCCCAGGGTTATGATGGGGCCACAACAGGTATTACAGGGGTCTGGTGAAGAATAGCAGGGCCAAAATAATTCATGTGAGCGTTGTGGCCCTTTGGCCTCTTAAAATGTTATTATTTTTACACACAGAATTGTCGACAGATTTTCCCGCTATTTCACGATCGTGAGTTTGACAAGGAGCACACGGCAGCGGATGCTCACTCCTTCACAGCACCTGATCCGACCAGTGATGTTTTAGAGGTCCGTGTTTGTTCTGCTCCTAATTTGTAGTGTTAAACAGCTGTTAAATGGACTTCTGAGCTTGGAGACTGTTCGTTATCTCTACATTTTTCATTGCATCTAGTCCCTCTCCAAAAGATGGTTAAGGAATGGATATAAATGACTTGTGTACACATTTCTGCACAAGGAACAAACAACGTTCACAAATATTTTACGTCCCTTCGAAAAAAATTTCACTCATTTGAAGACGCCATCACTTACGGATGGGTGCTGCAAATTTAGACCTATACTAAACTCGTTTTGCCTTTGAGCATATAGGGGTCTTATTCATGGCAAAACCTTTTTGTGACAGGAATCCTTTTCCAAATTATCGGTCTCTGCATCGTGCATCGGGGATTCGAACCCGCGTTATAGGAATGAACTAACTCAGCTAATCTTGAGCAAATTATCTAACCTCTGCATCACGCGGACCTACAGGTCCATAGTACTGGAGGGAAAGGGCCCTGACACAAGGCTGAAGGAATATGACACTTTCAGTTTTCTTTACCGTCACATGCTGCCCCTGTTGTTAAACTATGATCAACTTTCCCCAGGTTATTGATCTTTTTTCACAGAATATAATTTAATAATCCCTTTCACCCAAAAGAAATCATGATTGTAAAGAAGATCAGCGCAAGAAGTAGTATAGCTGCAAGACTGTATTATGGTTTTACGTTTGTTGTTTACCATAACGCTACAGATCTCGAAATGCAAATATTGTGCAATTTACGGCGCAAGATTTTTGTGCACTGTTGGTGAGAATTTTCCACTTCAAAGCATTGTTTAAGCCGTTTAAGCAACTACCTTTCACTTCCTAATTTTAGACATTTTTAACCAGACTGTTACATGTACATGTATTTTATCTACCACCCAACCATTTATAGTGGCCTCTACATCTCACTTTTTGTGAATTATTTGTTGCCGGATGGCAGAAAATTCAATGCATACAATTTTATTTGTATGTGGAGGCGGTTATAAAGGGTTAAGAAGTGGATAATATACATGTCGGCTTAAAAAGATGTCTATAACTTGGGAGTGAAATGTTATTGACTGACCTCACAGAAAGTGGAGAAATTTTCACCAACCATGCACAGAAAATCGTCGTAAATTGCATCTCATTTGCATAGTGGGATATGTAGCGTTATACACTGTATTTAAAACCATAACGCTACAGTAAAGTCGTGAATTAATTCATTTCGGATAAATTCACTGTAGATTGGGTAAGCCACAAAGATCCAAAAACAGACAATGATAAACTGCACAAATTCTGTTTTTAAAAATATCCCTTTATTATTGTAAAGCGTGTTTACGGTTTCATTTTCCAAACTCGGATATAGTCCACCTGCATGGCCGCCTGCTCGCCGTCATTTTGGTCAGGGTTCCACGTGGGATACCAGTCATTTTTGTGGGTCCAGAAGTCACGTGCCGTAAATTCAGACTTGTCGTTCCACGGTTTGGGAGAGGGTGCATTTCTGAATTTATCAGGAAAGAATCCCACCCCTCCAACGGCAACATTCAAAATGATGAAAAACTAAAAAGAAAATTGAACGTTCAGAGGGAAACGAATTCAAGTCTGGTGAATAATACATTGTATTGGATATAAAAAATACATGTGAACTTTGGTATCTCGAACACTGATAACTCGAAAACAAGATCGTTATTTTACAGTCTTAACCCTTATTTCATAAACATTTTATCCTGGATACCTCGAATTAATCCTTGAATATCTAGAAGTTTTTTCCTCATTGGGTTCGAGATAACGAAGTTTGATTGTATATTCTGTTCTGCATTTTAGAAGCTTTCTATAATGCAACTTCGAACACACACTCATGCCAAACCATGTATGTTTTATTAGCACTCAAGTTATTCAGTGGAGTCGCCAATTCTGGGTCGTCTCCTATTCCGGGTCACTAGCGTGTATTTTATGCCTAGTGTTAAAATTTAAGCGCAAAAAACTTAATGAATACGCTGGTCGTGAAGAACTGGTCTTTCTGTATGTAAATAATTACAAAATTTTGAATATTAACTTTAAGAGAGGACCCGACAATCGAAATTCTGAAACGCACGCATTAAAGACTTCGATGTTTCTGGTGCGGTGACGGGCTACTTTCGTTTTTGTTCGCTGCAGAAACAGGGACGTAGCAACCGCGGGGGCCGGGGGGGGGGGCTTCCCCCCCCACTTTTTTCCCCAACATTACCTTTACTATAGTAAATGTTCATTGAAAGGATGGTTGGCCCCCCCACTTTATACCATAGTATAGTGAAATGAAGGATTGTAGGGAAAAACTTGGAAGTGATAGTAAGTTAGTTCCGAAAAAGTTGGCCAGTACCCCCCCCCCCCCCACACCCACACACACACACCCACACACACACCCACACCCCCACACACACACACGTAATAGGATTTTGGGCAACTTTTAATTTTGGTTTGTTTGTTTGTTTGTTTGTTTTTTTTTTTTTTTTTGGCTTGTCAACTTTTTCAGGTAAGTAAAAAAAAATTTCTCCTGCTCCCCCCCCCCCCCCACTTTCAAAAACGATGCTACGTGCCTGAGAAAGGCTGATATAAAAGTTCTAGATAAATAATAAGACCTCGAAAGTATGGCAAATGCATTTGTTTTAACTCAGAAATCAATCATAATGATCGCTGCTCAAATAAAATTATAATGATTATTAAATCAAACTGTAGTAGTTTCTCCAATTGCAGTTCACGCAATCTTGTGGCATGAACATGTCAAAATTCTATGTACAAAACCAATCGACAACCATGTATTTACCTTGATTATCAAAAGTATTCTAACTGGAAACTATTTTTTCTAAAAATTAAAATCGAGTTAACCCTTCAAATGCATTTCTTAAATAAATGAATTTAATAGTATTATATTTCATCCTAATACATTTTATTTCATTCTGCATACAGCAATTTGTTTTGTTGTAATTGTTCTAAAAATAATTTAAGCATATTTCTTTTTTCCCAAGCTGCATGCATTGTTTTATGTTTCAACATCATAAAAATCGTGTTCCGAAATGTTCCATGAATATTACACGACCGTGAAGTCACATGACCCGTAAATGGAGAAAATGATTCGTAACTGGGGAAGCTAGGTCTTGCTGAAATACCCCTGTAAATATTGTTCCCGTGTAGCTACTTTGAAAACGAAAAGGCGTTTGGATGACTCAATATTTGTTCTTTCAATACATATATAGCATAAAATATAAATTGAACAGATTTGCAAAATATCAACGAAACACCCTGACGTGACCCGGAATTGGCGACTTCACTGTACATGTACATGTGACGAAATTTACTTATATGTCAATAGGATGATATATGTCGTACCTCTTGATCAAACGGAGCCATTTTGTTAGTGGTGTATTTGTATGGGTTGTTTATGTGCGTCTTCTCCAACTCTCCAAGTTTCCAGAATCCTTCTGGGGGCGGAACTACATTTAAGATTCGCTGTCCATCAAATGAAACCCTGTATGCATTGTAAAGGTTATAGGTCACTATTGGACTGAGAAGATAGCCAAGTATAATTTTCCAGTCACATTAGCAACTGTGCATTGTACCATTCTGACAACTTTTTAATTGCATTTGACATTCATCCCGAAAATCGCGATGCTGTGTTGTGCATGGCATAACGGAACGTACTTTTAGCAGCAAATGCTGCCGAAAACTCTATTTTTGATATTTTTGGTTCGTTTGTCGGCTTGAAGTTTTTTTTTAAACAATAGACATACTAAATCATAGATCGATCATGTAGATTGGAGGGGGGTCTTAACTTGCTATTGTGGAAACCTATTAGTACATTTTGTCACACTATATATATAACTTACTCGATGTGATCTTCGTCCCATATTAATGTCCATATATGGAAATCGTCATTAAGTGTTCCACTCGAAAGAGTCCTGTAATGATAAACCAGAACCGATTATCATAAGTTAAATTAAATCTTAAACTTAATGAGAAACTGATGCAACATAGAATTTTAGACCCACTTTTCAGCGTGAGCTTTTTCGTATGGATCATATCCGTATACTGGACCAAAATGAAGCGTGCTTCCAAAGCTGTCTACTCCCTGACTTCCGCCTTTCTCGTCATGGTAGTTTATGTTGCCTATTTGAGCAGAATGATTGCTTGAGTAAAATATTGACTCATATACAACTAATCTGGCAAACAAAATTTCTCTATTCCATTGATTGACATAATTTTTAAACTTTCAGAACAGTTCATGTAACAAGAGGCCCAGGGGCCACAGCGCTCACCTGAGCACACCTGCTAGGAAAAAGCAAATATCAGATCAGAAATCTCTCTCTCTCTCTCTCTCTCTCTCTCTCTCAAACTCTCTACACTACCTGAGGATGATTTCATGTAAATATCACTAATTATGGCTTTGAAGTACTTGAGAAGGAGATTTTAAAAGATTTCCCTATATATTCTTATGAAAAACTTTGATCGACCATTTTGGCCCCACCCTACCCCCGGGGGGCATGATTTGAACAAATTTGAATCTACACTACCTGAGGATGAAATGAGTTTCATCTTTCCTGGCCCAGTGGTTCTTGAGAAGAAGATTTTTAAAGAATTTTCCTATATATTCCTATGTAAAACTTTGATCCGCCATTTTGGCCCCACCCTACCCCTGGGGGGCATGATTTGAACAAACTTGAATCTACACTACCTGAGTATGATTCCACATGAGTTTCATCTTTCCTGGCCCAGTGGTTCTTGAGAAGAAGATTTTCAAAGATTTTTCGTATATATTCCTATGTAAAACTTTGATCGGCCATTTTGGCCCCACCCTACCCCTGGGGGGCATGATTTGAACAAACTTGAATCAACATTACCTGAGGATGATTCCACATGAGTTTCATCTTTCCTGGCCCAGTGGTTCTTGAGAAGAAGATTTTTAAAGATTTTTCCTATATATTCCTAAGTAAAACTTTGATCGGCCATTTTGGCCCCACCCTATCCCCGGGGGTCATGATTTTAATAAACTTGAATCTACACTACCTGAGGATGATTTCACATGAGTTTCATCTTTCCTGGCCCAGTGGTTATTGAGAAAAAGATTTTTTAAAAATGCCATTAATTTTTTTCTAATTCATAATTATCTCCCCTTGGAAAAGGGCGTGGCCCTTCATTTGAACAAACTTGAATTCCCTTCACCCAAGGATACCTTGTGCCAAGTTTGGTTGAAATTGGCCCAGTGGTTCTTGAGAAGAAGATGAAAATGTGAAAAGTTTACAACAACGACAACGACGACGACTACGACAACAACGACAGACAACGGACAAATTTTGATCAGAAAAGCTCACTTGAGCCTTCGGCTCAGGTGAGCTAATAATACAGAGACCTGAATTAGTATATGGAAAAATTCTCTCTCTCTCTCTCTCTCTCTCTCTCTCTCTCTTAGAATTCTACCTCTAGATTCCACGATGTCAATTTCACCGGAAGCTGGCCATCCACCGTAGGCATTCCTGTGCGGGAGCAGCCAAATTGCTGTTGGGAAAAAGTAAAACCACACCATAAAAAGGCCAGGGGTCAATATTAGTACTTAAATTAAATCACCATGATACATGTAGTTTAAACAGACCAGGCCAAATCCAGTCTCCTTTTGGCATTTTTGCCCTGACTTCCATTTTGCCGTACTTGAAGTTGAAGGCCTTGTCACTTCGGAGTCTAGCGGACTGAATTGGATTAATGATGTGCTCGGGGGTTCCCTGTCGACTACATCCATAGAACTGGTTACTAGTACACATAGAATTAGGTTCCCCACCTAGGATTTGGAAAGAAAAATAGACTTTAAAAAGTTCTTTCATTTGTATTACAAATTAAGTCAAATACAAATTTTAGTGTCTTACCCCAAAGATCAAGGGTTCCAGATGACAAGAATCTTTCTCCGTAATTATCTGCCGTTAGGGTCTGCATAGAAAAAATATCTTAAATATGAATTTTCTTTTCTTACCAACTTTAATACTGTAATATTGTATTATATACTTACAGGTTTGATAAATAATTTCCCGTCTTTTGTATAGCTGTTTGTTCGGTTATTTGTGTAGTACTCGAACTCCCAATTCTGAAATTGTTAAACAATACATTCATAATTTATCCTTCATGTGTCAAATATGCTTAATTTAAAACATTCTGTAATCTAGATAGCTTAAATACTAGAGGTACTGTGAGCAATGAGCTCACTAAATGATACCCCCGCCTCCCATAATGCCCATGTTTTGCTATATATATATAGAGTTTTACGGTAACGTGTAAAGAGAAATAACTCGTGGTATCTAATGCTATTAGAAGCCGCCTATTCTCACGTCATAGGTAAGAATATAATGGCAATGTCCATGTTTTGCTATGGGAAACCTAAAGTACGTCTCAAATCAAAAAGTAAAATAGGACGTGCACAATGGCAATATGTAATAAAGATTCTGTGAAAGTTTCATTAAATCTCACTCAGTGGTATAAGAGGAGTTGCGGATAAGAGAGGGGTACCCCAAGCGTAACAGACAGACGGACGGACTGAAATACCGATTACAGTATATCCTCCCACTTTTCAAGCGGGGGATATAAAAATGGCATGCTCTACAAATGGAAAATTTCTGAAACGTTACTGACAAATAAGTTGATGAAACAAGGATATCAGCAATCTCGTTTTAAGTCTATATTTCGCAATATGACGATAAAGTGACCTTGTCAGCAAATGCATGTAAAATCTCTTTTATGTTGGATACTGACTGAGGTTTTTTGCCTTTTTTCATACAAATTGTCAGGCCATTATTTTCACACTGTATTCTCTACGGATTTGTTTCGTTTACCATATCATGACAAGGAACACAATAGCAGAGTTCAACGGTCCACAGAAGACGCTTATTCCTTCATGATGAATGGATGAAAAGTGAATGAAATATTTTTATTTTCATTTTTGTTTTATTAAATTAAATTATGGGAGAGGACTATCTTGTGTCCAGACCCTTTGACATGTTGTCAATAAAATATGTTCACAACATTAAATCTGTGATAGAGGCTAAATCCAAAATAACAAACCAATAATTATGTCGAGGTTAACATGGCCAATCCATGTAAGATACTCCGTACGTCTCCTTTTTTCTTGGTCAAACGACTATAGTTCGGTTTAAAGATAGAATTTGACCTTTATTGTCATGTCAGTCGAATTTATTCAGTCCAAATCTGCTTTATGTGCTTTTATTGAAAATTAAGTTGAAATTGACAATTTTTCTAATTCAGTTTTATTTAAAAAGGAATGTTGAAAAACAGAATGAATGGATTTTTTTATTCACATTTTTTTTTTGTTTTATAAATCTTTCATAAAAGTCCATAATAACAACCCAGTACTGAGGGTATGTCGAGATTAATATGATATACCATGTATCTCCTGTTTTTCTCTCGGTCAAACGACTTTTGTTTAGGTTTGAAGATAGAATTGATGCAGAATATGCACCAAAAAGAATAACGGAATTTATTCTGATAACAGTACTTAGAGCTGAGTTTTCATCAAACAACAGTTAATTTTGCTCATTTTAAATTTGATATTAAAAACTGTTTGTGTATATGCCAATAACATCCAGGGGAAATTTTGTATTGAGTGAAGTTCTTTCAATGTGAAAGCTAAAAAAATTCTTTTTTTAAAATAAAGAAATAACTGCACTTCAGTGCTTGACATTGTATTTAAAACATACTTGGTTAACATTTATTAAAGTAGGATTTTATGAAAAATATGTTGAAAATGTACTCATTTTCATTTCTAAAGTTATTCTAGGTTTATTTATAATTATTAGATAAACTTTAATAGGGTTGTTCTCTTACTATAGATCTGACTTATCAATCGATACTTTAAAATAAAGTTACACATTTGTTTTGCTGTTATGCATTTGTTGGGGTAGGCAAAACAGTTAAAAACAAATGAACTAACTTGTTTGAAGGGTAAATAAAGATTTTGAGACTCAATCAAACAAAGCGCCGATTTACAATGTAGAACAATCAAACGCGCTTTGCAATACTGTTATTCATGTAGCAGTACTTGTTTAAGTGAGAAAATCTCACACTAAACTCAAAGTTTACACGTAACATTACCATTAGTCACACTTGGTTACTCTGGAAATAGCTGTCTAAAGCCTTATATAGTATACTAACTACGTTGTTCAAAGGGCCATAATTTGGGTTATCGAACTTACATTATGCAAATTTCACAACGTAAAATTAGTGACAACGAAAAAAAGTATATATAGGCTGTCTTTGGAGGGTGGATGGAGGGGGAATAGTGTTGACAAATAAAACTAGTGCTAATTGTAACGGGGACCGTTACAGATGTTCCCCAAACGCTCCCCAACTCCTTTTTGGTGCCATATTCCCTGTAAGCTTCATTAAAGAAGACAAACTCTGTGCATTTTGACTTTAACAACGTTTTCTCAGAAGGATACCAATTATATTCAAATTTTAGCATTGCATCCGTGCGCATGTGAATGCATGTGCGTTATGATCATATCATCTTGTCTACACTATCTACATATTTTAATATACAATATATTAAAGCTATGAAAAATCACTCTTTGAAGTGTATTTTTCATTTCACTCGTTCCAAATGCACGCACGTGCATGATGACCATACCTTCTTGTAGGAGTCCCTTACATCTATCTATATTCTAAATCCCATCCTGTTTGGTTGAAAAACAAGGGAGTTATAGCCATTTCAAGTTTAAGCCAATCAGATTGCAGCACACGTGCATGCGCGTGATTTCATGATTTTTTTCTATATCATATTGTAGGATATCCTAATGCATGACAATGTTTTAAATTTCAAAGCATTTCGTCAAAAAACAAAATAGATATAGCCATTTAAAATTTCAGCCAATCAGATTGCAGCACGCGGGCATGCGCATGCTTTCATGAAAATTCTTATATATCATGCTGTAGATCTTCATAATGTAGGTCTATGTTCAAAATTTCAAAGGATTATGACAAGAAACAAGAAAGATATTGAGACTTTAGTTTCAGCCAATCAGAGAGAAGCGCACGTGCATGCGCGTGAGATCTTACTTTTTTGACCATGTCATTTTGTCTATGCTTCTAATATATACTTATAAAATGAGTTTCAAAGCATTTCATCAATAATTTTAATAGTTACTTCTGTATCAATTATATTGGACATTTCTCGTGTTGCACGTGCGAGCTCTTGCAAGCACATGTGCATGCACATATGCTTTCATGAAAAATCTTATATTACAGGCTGTAGATCTCCCTAATGTATGACTATGTTCAAAATTTCAAATGATTTTATCAAAAAACAAAAAAAATATTGAGACTTTAGTTCCAGTTCTGAAGTTTTTTTTTTTAAAAAGATTTAATGGGATGTTTTTTATTCCCATTCTGTTTAATATTTGTTTTCTTTAATAGGTATCAAATTTATCGATCAGTAATGTGTCGAAGGACTTTTTGTCAAAGCTACGTATTGATGATTTTTCTTCAAACGACAAGTTTTGGTATGCACAAAACATCCAGACGAAAGGAAAAACTTGTTGACTGATGAGAGGATTTTTTTTTATTTAGAAGAGAGTAATTCCTACAATTTAACTGCACATTATTGCACAGGACTAAAATGCAATGTCAATCTAAATAAATTTAAGTCTAATTGAATTAAAATATGATTGAAATCATCACAATATTTCATTCCGGTTCTAAAAAAAAGTTTTAAGAAATAGACTGAATGGGGAATTTTTAATTCACATTTAAAGAAAAATTTCTTCTCTTTGAAATGAAATAAGATTAACAATCAAAAATTTTCATCGAAAGGACTTTTCGCCAAAGTTATGTATTGATGATTTTTCTTTGACCGACATGTTTTGGAATGCACAAAACATCCAGAGGAAAGGAAATATTATCTTTGAGTGACGAGTGGATTTTTTTTATATTTGCAAGAAAATAGAAAATTATATCAAAGGGACTTTTCGAAAAAGTTATCTTTTACTGTATTTTTAGTTTGTATTTTCGAGAGAGAGAAAATCCAGAGAAAATTAGCACTTGTCTTTGACTGATGAGTTCTTATCAAACAACAGTTACTTTTGCTGATTTTTATTATCAAAACCTGTTTGTGTATATGCCAAACACATCCAGGGGAAATTTTGTATTGAGTGAAATTCTTTCAATGTGCAAGCTAAAAAAATTCCCTTTTGAAATAAAGATATAACTGCACTACAGTGCTTGACATTGTATTTAAAACATACTTGGTTAATATTTATTAAGGTAGGATGTCATGAAACATCAAATTTTGTTGAAAATGTACTTATTTTCATATATTTAATGTTATTTCTAGGTTTATTCATAATTATTAGATAAACTTTAATAGGGTTGTTCTCTTACTATAGATCTGACTTATCAATCGATTCTTTAAAATAAAGTTACATTTGTTTTGCTGTGATGCACTTGGGGGGGGGGGGGGGGGGGGTGGGCAAACATTTAAAAAAAAAATTTATTTTTTGAAGGGTGAATAAAGATTTTGAGACTCAATCAAACAAAGCGCCGATTTACAATTGGGAACAATCAAACACGCTTTTTAATACTGCTATTAATGTAGCAGTACTTGTTTTAGTGAGGAAAACTCACACTAAAACCAAACTTTACACGTGACATTACCATCAGTCACGCTGACTTTAACACTTGATCACTCTGAAAATGGCTCTCTTAAGCCTTATATAGTATACAAACTTACTGTCTGTTAGCATTGACTGAAAATGTGCATAATATAAAGCACAGAGCAAAGATCGTTATATTTACGTTGTTCAAAGGGCCATAATTTGAGTTATCGAACTTTGTCACAAAATTACATTATGCAAATTTGACAACTTACAATTAGTGACAAGGAAAAAGGTATATATAGGCTGTCTTTAGAGGGTGGATGGTGGGGGAATAAACTTGACAAGTAAAATAGTTGTGCTTGTTTAAATAAAAGTTTCAGTGCATTATACTGCACTCTGATGCAATACAATGCAACACATTGTAATGCCTTGCAAATTGACCAATCAAAGTGAACTAAGTCAATTTGATTCCTAATTTAATTGAAAATATGATTGAAAAATCCACACTGTTTTTATTTCCTGTTCTGAAAAAAAAAATTAAAAAGATTTAATGGGATTGTTTTTAATTAGGTCACCTGAGTAAACTCAGGTGACCTATTGCTATCCGTTTTCGTCCGTCGTCCGTCGTGTGTCGTGTGTTGTGTGTCGTGTGTCGTGTGTTAACATTTGAACATTTTCAGCTTCTTCTCTGCAACCACTGAACCAATTTCAACCAAATTTGGCACAAAGCATCTATGGGTGAAGGGGAACAAAAATTGTGAATTTCATGATCCCTGCCCCCCAGGGGCCTGAGGGGTGGGGCCAAAACCACTAAAATTAATGCAATCTTTAAAAATCTTCTTCTTTACTCCTGGACATCAAGCAGTCAAACTATTTGCATGATTGTAATCAGCATTGAGTCCTCTACCAAAATTGTGAAATTCATGGCCCTGGGGTTAGGGGTTCTAGTGCTAGGGCGGGGCTAAATAAGTATATATTCTTTCTTTGAAAATCTTCTTCTCTGCTCCTGGGTATTAAATAAACCAACTAAGTACATAGTTATGATGAGCAAGAGTGCCTCTACCAAATTTGTGAATTGTATGGCCCCAGGGTCAGGGGTTCTGGTGTGGGGGGGGGGCTCTATTGATTATATAGTAAAAATACATGATTTCTTTGAAAATCTTCTTCTCTGTCCCTGGGTATTAAATAAACCAAGTAAGTAAATAGTTATGATGAGCAAGAGTGCCTCTACCAAAATTGTGAATTTTATGGCCCCAGGGTCAAGGGTTCTGGTGTTGGGGGGCTCAATTGATTATATAGTGAAATTACATGAATTCTTTGAAAATCTTCTTCTCTGCTCCTAGGTATTAAATAAACAAACTAAGTGCATATTTATGATGAGAAAGGGTGTCTCTACCAAAATTGTGAATTTTATGGCCCCAGGGTCAAGGGTTCTGGTGTGGGGGGGGGGGGGGCTCTATTGATTATATAGTGAAATTACGTGAATTCTTTGGAAATCTTCTTCTCTGCTCCTAGGTATTAAATAAACTAAGTAAGTGCATAGTTATGATGAGCAAGAGTGCCTCTGCAAAAATTGTGAATTTTATGGCCCCAGGGTCAGAGGTTCTGGTGTTAGGATGGGGCTATATTGATTATATAGTAAAAATACATGATTTCTTTGAAAATCTTCTTCTCTGTCCCTGGGTATTAAATAAACCAAGTAAGTAAATAGTTATGATAAGCAAGAGTGCCTCTACCAAACTTGTGAATTTTATGGCCCCAGGGTCAAGGGTTCTGGTGTTGGGGGGGGGCTCTATTGATTATATTGTGAAATTACATGAATTCTTTGAAAATCTTCTTCTCTGCTCCCAGGTATTAAATAAACTAACTAAGTGCATAGTTATGATGAGCAAGAGAGCCTCTACCAAAATTGTGAATTTAATGGCCCCAGGATCAAGGGTTCTGGTGTTGGGGGGGGGGGCTCTATTGATTATATGGTGAAATTACATGAATTCTTGAAAATCTTCTTCTCTGCTCCTAGGTATTAAATAAACTAAGTAAGTGCATAGTTATGATGAGCAAGAGTGCCTCTACAAAAATTGTGAATTTCATGGCCCCAGCATCAATGGTTCTGGTGGGGGGGGGGGCTTTATTGTTTATAAAGTGAAAATACATGAATTCTTTGAAAATCTTCTTCTCTGCTCCTAGGTATCAAATAAACTAACTAAGTACATAGTGATGAAAAGCAAGTGTTCCTCGACTAAGATTGTGAATTTTATGGCCCCAGGGTCAAGGGTTCTGGTGTGGGGGGGGGCTCTATTGATTATATAGTGAAAATATGTGAATTCCTTGAAAATCTTCTTCTCTGCCCCTGGGTATTAAATAAACCAAGTAAGTAAATAGTTATGATGAGCAAGAGTGCCTCTACCAAAATTGTGAATTTTATGGCCCCAGGGTCAAGGGTTCTGGTGTTGGGGGGGGGGGGCTCTATTGATTATATATATAGTGAAAATACATGAATTCTTTGAAAATCTTCTTCTCTGCTCCTAGGTATTAAATAAACCAACTAAGTGCATAGTTATGATGAGCAAGAGTGCCTCTACAAAATTGTGAATTTTATGGCCCCAGGGTCAGGGGTTCTGGTGTTAGGGTGGGGCTCTATTGATTATATAGTGAAAATACATTAAATCTTTGAAAATTTTCTTCTCTGTCTCTGGGTATGAAGCAGATGAACTACCTATATAGTTATGATGAGCAAGGGCCCTAATCTTGCAGAATTGTGAATTTCACGGCCCCAGGGTCAGGGGTGGGGGGGGGGCTCTACTTATATACTGGAAATGAATTAATTGTTTGAAATCTGGTCCTTTGTATTTATAAAACATTTATTTACTTTTTGATAGGCAATTTTAAGGGTGCCTTTTAAAAATTTGTGCTACCTAGGGTCAGGGGTTTATGTCAGAGTGTTAGGGGCACTACTGATTATTGATGAATATTACTGATTAGTTGGAGTGCATTTTTGTTCCCCTACCCTGCATATGGGTATTCAATAACCAAGCTAAGCGACTGCTAAGTTTATTGTTATGATGATCAATGGTGCTCTTTCAAAATTGTGAATGCCATATAGCATCTGGCTTAAAATATGTTATTGAATCAAATTCAATACACTGTAACTGGAAAGTTGTTGCATAATGCTCAGGTGACCTATAAGGCCCGTGGGCCTCTTGTTTTGTTTAATATTTGTTTTCTTTAATAGGTATCAAAGTTATCGATCAATAATGTGTCGAAAGACGTTTTGTCAAAGTTATGTACTGTTGATTTTTCTTCAACCGACAAGTTTTGGTATGCGCAAAACATCCAGACAAAAGGAAAACGTGTCTTTGACTGATGAGTGGGTTTTTTTATTTGCAAGAGAATTAATTTAGAATTTAACTGCACTCTATTGCACTGGACTAGAATGCAATGTCAATGAAAAAAAAATTAACAGTTTAAGTCGAATTTAATCAAACTTAGATTGAAATCAACAATATTTTTATTTTGCGTTCTGAAAATTAAAAAAAAACAGACTTGATGGGATTATTTTTAATTTACATTTTGTATGTTTGTTATCTTTGATATGCATCAAAATTAACTATAAGTAATTGTGTCGAAGGACTTGTCTTTTACTGCATTATGAATGATTTTTTTTATTTGCTCCTGGGTATATCATTTGAAAGTCTGACAATTAGAAACCATCTTTTGAGATTAGACATACAATGAAATTCTTTCTTGCCTTTTGGTATAGGACTGGTTTGTACTTTCTTCCAAATACCTATAATTTATGTAACATATATACGCACCCCACCTCCACTGGCAGTAATTTCGTGTGTCCAGGTTTCAAAGTTCAAGAAGTCAAAGTTGTCCTCGAAAATGAGACAAGGATACGAGGTGCACGTCTGCTGGGACGTACCATGTTGTGTATACCCTGTACCGGAGTAGACTATAAAAAATGTAACGTAGTGTGAAATTTCCCAGAATCATATTCTAAGAAAATTACAAAGGTTTCGTAATTGATATAATGAAATATAGTAAAATGTTTACCTTGCTGAGATCCCCCAGAAGAACCCCCAAAGCTACCCCCTGAAGAGTGTCCCCCAGATGCCCCTGCATGAGTTTCTATCATGGTCTGTGTTAAAATCCCTCCAGAGTGACCCGAACTGTGACCATGACCTCCACCGCCAGAGGGTGCAGCAGTCGTGGTAGAGGTCACCACGGGTCTGACCTTAGTGGTTGTGGTGGTTGCTTTAGTAGTCGTTGTCATGTCTTCAACAGAAAGTTGGCAGTTGGTGGATACGTATCATAATTTAGCAGTTTACAAAAAATATAATGAAGCTTTAATCTTTCGTACTCTATATACTTATTACACAAAAAGTTAAAACATTAATTTTTTTTCATTTAATTTTTTTTTTTAAATAATCCAAAGTCGTATACGTGCTATTGTAAAATTTCTCGCGATTTAACAAACAAACTAATTCGATATGATGTGCAAATATCTAAATACCATATAGAATACGTCTGGAGAAAATAAGATTCTGAAGGAAAACAATAGTTGTTATTTACCTCCGATTACAGCGGATTGTCCCAGTAATTCACTGGGTGCCCCTCCCTTCTGGGCGTGTAACCAGTAGTAGACAGTGTCCCCTTTGTGGACTTGGATACCAGGAACATCATTGGTGTGGACGAAAGAAGATCCTACAAATTGATATCAGTATCTCATTTATTTGAATTAATATTATATACCCAGTAATACAAATGTTCCTTCTGGCGAATGTTTTGATGTTGTTATTTTTTTCGTTTATTATTTGTAGCTTTTTCCTTTTTTCGGGTGAGGTGGGGGTGGGTTAAAATTGTCATAAGATGCTCTTGACAAATATAAATGCTCTCTCTTTCTCTCTTTCTCTCTCTCTCTCTCTCTCTCTGCAGTAATACCTTCCTTGTTGTGGACGTCAAAGCCCCACTGTCCGGCTGCTACACCGGCGATTGGTTGATTGATGGAATAGTGAACAGCGACAAAGTCATAGTTACCATCATCTTCAAGAAAGAAAATAGACATTAGTTTCTTGAGGAAGTCTCTTACTAAAATACTATTAGATGTAATATTTTTTTCATTGTACAGTAATTACAGAACTAGAGATTATACTAAAGGATATCATTAGACGTAGCCTAATTCTTTCATATTCTGCTCTATAAATTTATGGATAAGTCTGCCTGATACGCCCCCTCATACCTGGAATAGTGAATTTGATTCCGTGACCATTGTACAGCTCTACTGTTGCTGGTTGTACGGCAAATACGGATCTCGATAGTAACGAGGTTAACCCCAAAACCAGAAACCACATCTGCAACCATTATAGAAGACGTCAGAAAATGGAAAAAGAACTATATAACGCAAAATAACTCCACTTTCCTTCGATTATCCAACCATGTAACAAGAAAAGAAGGGGGTTACTCTCAACATAAAGATTGTCTTTCTGGAGAAAGCTCCGACCACATTATAGACGGGTTCTCTTTAGTTGTATTGTACTTAAAATTAAATTTATTGATAAGAAGTAATAATGTCGTATAATTGATGGTATCAGTTACATTAAATGTATGTGCTGCATTATTTAAAAAAAAAAACACGGTCAAGTCAAGGTCATTATCTTTTTCTTGACCCTATTGACAAAGCAGTTGCAATTGCTAAATTTTATTCTGTTAATGCTATACTATAAGCAAAATATACAGATAGTGACATGCCCACAATTTATAATTATAATTTTTATAAATTTTTATAACCCCCCCCCCCCCCCCAAAAAAAAAAAAACAAGTATATACTGACAAAACGTCAGAAATACTCAAGCTGTAGAAAGTCAATTAGGAAGTGGCATTAATATCCTAAAATGGTATAAGATGAGGGCCATTGAGTTCAATCTTCTGTTGAATTAACTACATGTACATGAAACAAAATTCATACATTGAATATAATTAGAATAAATGTAATTAATTGTACTACTTTTTAGATGAAATTACGTTACAAAATTTCAGGAATATTTTATAGAGCATAGTTGCCGTTTCTTAACTTAATGAAATATTTTTTTATGTATTTGTATTTTTTTTGCTTAATGACGTACATCACAACCATAGGCGTCGGAACTGGGGGGGGGGGGGGCTTTTTTTGGCAAAGATACACATAATATAGGCATTGAAAACTGGGGTTTACGTTATTTTGTTGGTTTAGACCCCCTTTCAATTAGCCCCCCCCTTTCAGTTTGCTTCTGACGCCTATGACAACATTTATTATACATCAATCAAAATAGCTTGTTACAAGCCTGTAGAAATGTTTTTCATAGTGGGGAAGAGGGGAGGGGGGCTGCGGGCTCCAAATAAGCTACGTGACTACGGATTCATCTAGCTGTGCGGCAGGTCCAATACGCATTCCGTACGAATCCAAAAGAAGTTATATAGGTTCCGTTACCAAACTGAAGGTAATACTATCTTTTAGAATTACAAACAAACGTATGAGGGAGAATTTAACATTAAATTTTATTAGGGTCCACGCAGTAAATATATAAGCGAGGTTAAATCGGATGCCATGGGCATATGTCAAACTACGCATGTGCGAAAATGCCCAAGAGTTCGCAATCGCATCATTTCGGGTCTTTCCGTCAGAGGTCGGAAAAACTTAAGCCAGTCGGAAAGACCGGAGAATTAGCGATTGGGAGAGTCCCCCCCCCCTAAGACAGCTTACCCGTAGAATATACCATGTTCATTGGCAAATATCGCTTTTAAATCTGCATACCGTATTTATTAGTTTATCAGCGCATCCGAATTTCTTTTTTATATATACTTTTATATACAAATTAAGCATTGCTTCTATGGCAGATGCATTTTAAAAAGTAGAAAGAACTTGTCTTCATCGGCATTTGTTTTGTGCATCAAGGCTCGCAAAAATAATTTGAAACACAGTAATCCATATACAGCTTGATACAGGCCTTAAGCAACGGATTTCCATGTGCATGAAAGGGGGGGGGGGGGGGCTCTGAAAAAATCTGCATACTACAGCTAGAGCTATGCTACACGTGTAACATAAGATTTTTTCAAATTATAGATTTCTCCCGTATAAATTCAGAGGAGATGTCAAGCCCCAGCCACTAAGGCTTACATGTATTAATATAGCCCATTTTTTAAAAATAAGAAAACTTTATCGGAGATAACATTTAACAATTTTGCTATGAAAGTACTATCAGTCAAAGTAGGCAGATCATAATAGAAAATGTTAAAACAAACCTACATGAATATTTACTAAACCTAGAAATTGTTTTGAATTCAATTTCGGTTAGAAACACATGCATATGGTCCACGTATTGTAGTCCTTTTTTTAAAGTACAGCAACTTGTTTTGTGCTATTATCTTATTGTCCCTCAAAGTACACATCATTTGAAGGAAAGTGAGAAGCAATGTCAGTTTGAGAAGGGGGGAGGCACAGCCATACAATTGTACTAATAATTCGTTAACAATGGGGTAACCTGCGTCATCTTCCAGAGTCACCAGTGGACTCATCCAAGGATGCTTTGTCGGCGACCGAAACGTCGGCGACTGAAAGTTACCTGAGATTCCCACGCAAAGGAAAGCGCGAAATCTCTGTATAGAAACTGTTGCGGCTGCGGAGCTTCACTTATTGTTCATTCGCCATAGAATAGAATCCGATATTTAACACTTAATATCTATGAATATACAGAGGTTTTAAAGATAAGCTTCATTTTTGTTTCTAGAAATATTTTTATGTACCAAAATAAAGTATTTTCGTGTCTTAAAACTGAGTAAATCGATGACCTAGCATCGTTGTAGATAACTCAAGCCCCGGGCTTGAGTAAAAAACTGACATTGATTTATTTTTGAAAAAAAAACAGTTCTAGGAAGAACCATCGTCGCAAACACAAGGCCAAAATGTGCGATCATCTGCAATTCTGATAGAGCTATATGCAGACTCCGGACCGTGGTTTGAGACGATGAAGAAGAATGGTATCTATTGTATGTAGTAAGTCTACTTACCTTGATTTTTGCAGAGTGACGTCCGTGGAATACAGAATAAAGTACTGTGGAATCTTTATATAGACATCTTTAAGATAGATTAATTCCATTATTGCTTGGAGATGAAACTTTGTGGAAGTAAAAACAAGCATGTTCTAAATCTGACCGTCACTGAACTTGTACATGTAATCGTTTTAAAAACATATACGAGGGTTGTTTTATGGGATGAATTTCGTCCATCTACACTTATTCTGGGTCAACCGGGAGCTTTCCTCTTATTGTTGAACCCAGATTCTTAAAAACCTCAAAGACACCAACACGAGTTACAGTTTTGTAGTTTTATATAAGGAATTAGCACGGAATAAACTTTTACATGAGCTTGGGAACTATCAGCACCGAAGGTCTGATTCCAACTGACTATAATTTTTCACAACAAAACATACATACTGAACAAAGACAGAGTAAAACTAGAGCAAAGCTCGTTGCAAAGCAACGAGAAGGTCTTCCGTCCTGTTTGACCGGAAGTAACTTTCATTCCTACAAAAATGAGTAAAAGCGTCCTAAAATTGTTTAAATCCTCTAAATCTTTGTCATTTAATGCAAAAATCAGCCATTTTTTGCTACTTCCGGTTTGACCGGAAGTGACGACGACGGACGGAAAATTAATTTTTTTGCTCCCAGTGACAGATGTTACCCAAAAACTTGTCAAGAATGGCAAAATATGCGTTTTCCGACTACTTCCGGTTTGGCCGGAAGTGACGTCGTCGGACGTATTTTGACGACCTCAATAGATTGAACTCGACATTTTAAACAACTTTGCTTCTTTGACATATTACAAATTCTCAATACTTTTTGAGATATAAAGGAAAAAATTTCGGCCCCTCTTGGCCCTTAATTATAGAGGCCAGCCCTTTTTCTGAGATATCATTTGAAAGATCTTCTAATTCTGCACAAATTATGTTCTATATATTTTAACAAAATATTTTTAGTTTAGAAGATAAAAAGCAAAATATGAGTAATTTTTGGCTCGTTTAAGCGTTCTAATTTTTGACCCCTATATAGCGCCATTTTGAATAGAGAAATCGAAAAACAAAAACCGATGTGCACAACTTCAGTCCTTCTTTTATCTAAAATCAGTAAAATTTCTGCTCCAGCTTTAGCCGTCTTTGCGCCTTTGTCTGGAAACGAAAGCCTATAAATTTTCGTTTAAAGGGAAATAACTCAAAACCGGAAGTGACTTTTTGAAATTTTCGACAGCATTCTGATAGAGTTTAGTAACTTCTAGTACCTCTGAAAATTTGAGCGAAATCAATTGAGAAATGAGTGAGATATGAGGCTTCAAAGTTGGCGTCTAGGAAGTAGAAGAAGAAAAAAAAAGAACTAGATACGATCTCGTTGCGAGCAACGAGTGGGTCTTCCATCCAATTCTTGATGAGATGAGATAAGATTTTGATTGCGATTTTCATTCTAAAATAATGATTTACCACAATCTGTAAAAAGACATTGAACATTAAAGACTTAAAAAATCGGCCTTTTGCCCCTAACGGCCCCTAATTTTAGGAATCGGCCCTTTTTATTCATATCATCTTAAAGCTCTTAAGATTTTGAACATTTTTTGTTCAACAATTATTCAGAAATTCTTTTTCGTTCTTGAGCTATTAGCGAAAGAAATATTTAGGGGCCAACCCTTCAACTCCTTAATGGGGACGTTTAGCAAAAAATGAAAGGTTGCATATTGTTCAGAACATTATTTTGAACATCTTTTGTTCAATATTGCTTATCAAAATATTTCTCCCTTTCGATATACAAAGCATCAAAGATTTAGCATTCTGGCCCCTTGTGGCCCCTAATTATGTACCATACGACATAAAAACCATTATATATAGTTGTGAATGGTTGAGATAAACATCTTTGCTTCAGTAATGTATTACAAAATATTAACTGATAAAGAGTAATCGATTGAAGACTTGTGGCCCCTCTTGGCCCCTAATTCTAGTTCCCAGCCCCTTTTTCGGGATCTCATCTTAAAGATCTTAAGATTTTGAACATTTTGTGTTCAATAATTATTCAGAAATTCTTTTTCGTTTTTGAGCTATTAGCAAAAGAAATATTTAGGGGCCAACCCTTCAACTCCTTAAAGGGGACGTTTAGCAAAAAATGAAAGGTTGCATTATGTTCAGAACATTATTTTGAACATCTTTTGTTCAATATTGCTTATCAAAATATTTCTCCCTTTCGAGATATAAAGCATCAAAGATTTAGCATTCTGGCCCCTTGTGGCCCCTAATTATGTACCATACGACATAAAAAACATAATATATAGTTGTAGATGGTTGAGATAAACATCTTTGCTTCAGTAATGTATAA